GAAGTGCTGGTGCGTGACGACAAAGGGAATGCATGCTGTGGGCCAGGTGGAGGTGGTGGTGCTGCTGCAGTGCCTGCCTGAGGAGAAAAGCTTCCCCAAAGACATTTTCAGCCACTTCATCCAGCTGTACAGGGACACCCTCACAGGTCGGAGCCGCTCATACTAAAGCAGCATTACACGCAGTTATTTTCAACAGGTTATTTTGACTGCACTGCTTCAGCGCACTGACTGTCATCTCCCTCAAAGTGCTCATTCTACTATAATTACACATCTGTTCTTTTCCTCCTTCATTTCTGCAGGGAAGGTCGTGAAACACCTGTCGCTCTCCCTGTTCGGCAGTCGATTCTTAGGCAGTGAGGAGCACGCGGGCTTCCTGTATGTTCACTCCACCCTCCAGTCCCTTCAAGGTCTACCTCTGCCAAACCAGCCCTACCTCTTCGGCCTGCTGGTCCACAGAGCAGAGGTGGCCTGGGCTAAAGCCTTTCCCTTGCGTCTCATGCTGCGACTAGGGGCCGAGTACAGATGTGAGCCAGGTGTTAGTATGAAATCTTGCATCTGTACAGCTGCAGGTTTCCTCTCAGGTTAACCCACTGTCTTTCTGTTTTCCCAGTTTACCCGTGTCCTCTGTACAGTGTGCGCTTTAGGAAGCCCTTGTTTGCCGAAATAGGTCACACCATAATGAGACTACTAGTGGTGAGTAGGACATTTTGTAACAACTTCTGTTTGGTGGTGCTGCAAAACTCACATTTACTGTCATCAATAGGAAGTTTAGTGGTGTAACCTTTACCAAACTTACCCTAATAGCCCCTGACCTGTTTCTGCCCCTGCTGTTCCAGGACTTTAGGAATTACCGTTACAGCCTACCAATGGTGCCGGGCCTCACTGTGGATCTAGAGGCTCAGAGGACCTGCATAAAGATACCGACCACTGGCTATAATGAGGTAACACTAAGCCTTCAAATGCCTCACAGTTATTTGCCACGGTTATGTCCTTCTCGTCATCCTTCCCCCCTCTCTGCTCACTTGTCTGGCATTAGCTAATGAAGGCTCTGAATAAGTCCAATGAGCATGTGCTGGCCATAGGGGCGTGCTTCAATGAGAGCGCAGATTCCCACCTCATCTGTGTGCAAGGAGACGGCGGCCAGTACCAGACCCAAGCCATCAGCATCCACAATCAGCCACGCAAAGGTGGGGCATAACATGATACTGGAAGAGACATCACAATATCAGAGTCTGGACTTAACACCCTGTAATCAAATAGTAATGGAGGACATTCACTGCCATCAGAAATTAAGGGGGGAACGTTCTGATTGATTGATGCTGATACTGATACTGAAATATCAGTATTAAATTGATGATTTGTTTTATTACAGTAAAAAGTAAGAGATTAACATACTAAATTCTGCACAAGAGCTAAATTCAATGTGATTTTTTCATTCATTCAACTCCAAAGACCATTTGATGCAATCTATTAATTTTAACCCTTTATTCAAACTGAATTTTAATTTCTATTTTAAATATGTATAATTTGAATTTTAAGCATTCCCAAAGATATTAAACATGTTATAATGTGGACACATAAAATAATGCTCAACATATTTCAGATTAATATTTAAAATCAAGATTTCATATTATAACAGATTAAGATTTCAGATTATAACAGATTAAAACAGAACTTTGTGAATACAAAGTTAGTAGTTCTTCTGGAAACTGCCCAAGGGCTAATGTAAGGGATGCTAAGCGCAGCGAGTGCTTGATTGTAGCCAGTCAGTGCTGCACTTTCCCTTGTATAACACTAGATGATGCTACATGATAGTTTTTTCTTCTCACTGAAAAGACCTAACTGGATTAAAACCACCAGTCAAAGCCTGTCTCTAAAGATCCTATCTTTCTATCTTTCTTTCTTTCTTTCTTTCAGTAACTGGATCATGCTTTTTTATATTCAGTAGTGCTCTGAAAGCGTCTGCAGGGTACCTGGCCAAGTCCAGCATTGTAGAAGGTAGGATGTCCACTCAGAGGGGAGTCAGCTTCACCTTGACTTTTACCTTCCTGCTTGCAGGATATTCCTTGTTTGCATGTTTTAAGTAGTGCATGTTAACATCCCTGCCTTCAAACTTGTTCATTCAGAGTGTGTTGATCTTTGTATGTGTGTGTCTGTGTACACTTTAACAGACTGTTTGTCAAGGCGTGTGTACATGTTGATGTATGTGAGCGTGTGTGTGTGTTTGTGTCTCCCCGTTGTGTGTTTCTCCTGTATCGCTATCCCTTCTCCCCAGATGGGCTAATGGTGCAGATCACCGTGGAAACCATGGCCGAGCTTCGCCGGTCGCTACGGGAGATGAAAGACTACACCGTCACCTGTGGACGGCTCGACCAATCAGACAGCCAGGAGCTCGTTTGTATACAGTGGGTGGAGGAAAAATGCACTGTGAATAAGGGGTGAGTGTGTCCACCTGTTTGAAGTTCAGGTGGCAGCTGCAGGATGAAGCTGTTGTGCTGAAAGAGAACAATATAACAATCACGTTCAAACATAGATTAATGAAAATGTTTAAAAGGCTGTATTTGTATTTACAGTCCTCATAATCTCACCTTCTTGTCAGTGTGGTGAGTTGTAGGTACATGTAGTCATTTAAATGTTTGTATCCCCCAGAGTTATAAGCCCCATCGATGGGAAATCCATGGAGTCCATCAGCAGCACGAAGATGTTCCAGAAGTCAGAATACAAAGAAAATGGGAAAATCATCCGCTGGACAGAAGTACATATGAAGATCTGATGAAAATATCAACTGAAGTTCACCTGAACCTGTCCTCCTCCCTTTACATTTGTGTGTGAATGTGTTGTGCAGGTGTTCTTCCTGCAGAGGGGGGATCATCTCAAAGGAGGAACGACCGACTCTGCTGAACACAACCGGCTAACAGAGCGGATTGCCCGGGCGTTTTGCTTGGCGCTGTGTCCACACCTCAAACTGCTCAAAGAGGACGGGATGGCCAAGCTGGGGCTGCGTGTCACATTTGATTCTCAAGAGGTCAGAAAAGATGTCCAATATATCTGGTAAAAATTGGCCTCATGTGTCTGCCTCCTAGTTAAGACAGAAGTCTGGCAGAATATGTCTAAAAAATGAAAAAAAAAACTGAAATTAAATCCCTTTTCCTTTAATGATTTTCCAGTAATAATGTATAATTCTTTTTTATTTAGCTGTAAAATATTTAGTTTCTATGCTATAGAATAGGCAGCATTCTGCTAACAATGGGAGAATTTCATCTGCGGTCCATCTGCGATGAGGAGAGCATGCAACATACGACTCACATCATGCATAGCTGTAAAGTTTATAGTTTATAAGCTCCTGGGTGTGACTACGTTAAAACTAATTAGTGGTTTGCTTTGTAATTTCAGGTGGGATTTGTGGCTGGGAGCAATGGGCAGCCCCTCCCAGCTCAGTATCTCAATGCCCTGGATAGCGTGCTGATCCCTGTCATACACAGCAGGGGGCGCAAGAGGGGTGACGAGCCCATTGTGATGGAGCTCATCTTTTACATCCTGGAGAACATCACTTAGAGCGCACACACCCCACTAGTTCATCTTTTTAACCCTGACCACAACTCTGTCTCCAGCACGTCTCATCAGTGCTGCCATCTGTTCCAGGGCAATAAAAGCATTCAAAGGGCGAACCAGACCACATCCAAGGTCTGCATCCATCTCATCCACTCACGAGTAGAGAGAAGTGGTCTGACTCTTTAGTGGTTTTCTGATCTCACTCTACCCTGCAGCAGACAATCTGGGTACGCATGAAACCTATGATGGACCATCAGATCAGGGTGCTGTACTTGCACTGTAGTAGCAACTTCATAGCTTGAAAATCATTCATGTCACAATGTTCAATACAATTTCCAATATGGAGAATACCTTTAAAGTGGGAGCTGGATTCAGCCCCATGACCCTAAAGCAAACAGAAAAAGAGAATGACTTGAAGTACTGTATGTAGTAGCTCCGTAGCAATTTGATGCACACTGAATGAATGCCTGAAGAATGTTTTCATACTGGATGTATTTTAACTGACTGCTCATGAAATGTAATGTCAGCCTGGAATTAAACGCGCAACAATTACTGAATCACTGACTGTTTATCCAGGACGCTCTGCACAACACTCCAGTGTTTTGATGATTTCCATTAAGATATAACATTTTTAATTCTTTGCTACCCTGTTATTTATCTCAAGGCCCCTGGCAATTATCTTGTTACCCTGTCAGTTATAGATGAAACAATATATATTTTAAATTGGCTACGCCTCAAACAGCTACATTAATTGTTAATAATAAATCACACAGACAGGCGGGCATTCTGCTGCATGATGGATAATTTGTTTAAATACTGATAATATTTCTGCACTGTAAGTTGTCCAATGGCCGACTTTAACTTGTAATCAAGTATTTTTAAATTGCAGTATTAATCATTTTAATTTTTTTATGATATGAATACTTATTTACAACTGTATCATAGTGATTTGAAATTGAATAGTTTCCTGCAGTATCAGTTTCATAAAACAACTTTAAGGAGGATTGATTTACAGCTGTGACAGAGCCGGTCTGTAATTTGACCAAAATTGTTATCTTACATTCTGTATCAATGGTTCATTTAGCTTATAAGCACTGAATGGATATAAGGAACAGTATAATACTGAAATATTTGAGTCCCAGCTGTTTAGTTGTGTGGGTATAGATGCAGTATTCAGGATGCTTTCCCTCTGCCTCTTACGATGAGTCTTTTCAAACAAAGCAGAATGGGTCTTTTGTTTACCTCCTACTTGCTCAAAATACTTGGGATAGCCAAGACAAGAGGCACATGCATGCAATGTAAATACTTTCATTCTTTGCTGCTGCACAGCACAATGTCAGTCTTCCGAGACCTGACAACTAACTGAAAACTTCTCCGCAAGTTACACATACAGTACGCACTTGTTCTACAACTGAATATTGTTACACACAAAGTGTAAAACAAGAGAATAAAATTAAAATGGAATTTATTGGCATTTTAATTTTAAATACACAATGTAACAAAATTTAGAAAGTCTAAAGCATACCAATACAATTAGTTATTTTTTTTTGTTTATTGTAAAACTATTTACAAAAAGTATTTCCAAGTTGATAGAAACTGTACAGTCATCTGTCCACAGGGGGGGGTCAGGAGGGCATGGGGGTCAGATAAGTAGTGAAGGCAAGTGGGGTGAAAAGCCACCTCTGTGACACTGAACTAGGAGGTTGTTTGCAACATCAGTGAAGATAACATTTTGGTCAGAAACATCTTCTCTTCATACATTGTGTTCCATAGATGGTTCCCCAACTCAAACAAATGAACGAACAAACCAACTAAATGTGGGACCCCAACTGTGGAAATCATTGACCACGTCATTTCCCCATGTTTTGCATATAAAACTAAAAACAGGAAAAGAAACACAGCCAAAATTATCTTTGGAATCCGTAGTAGTTTTAACAGGTTCGCGGGGTCATATTTCTTGGGTGTTTCCTTCCAAAGATCCTAGGCCTTCTTCATCTTGCCCATGTGAGTGCTGCCGTTCTCATGGTGAGCAGAGCCATTGCTGGTGCCGTTGGTGGCTCCGTGGTTGATACCATTGCTGGTGCCGTTCTCGTGGTGTTTGCCATTCTCATGGCATTTATCTTTGGTGTATACAGCTGTGCCATTCTGACACTGCTTAATGTCCTGTTTGGGCAACCGCTTACCCTTCACGTAAGCCTGGATCCAGAAGTTGGAGAAGAGCACGAAGAAGAAGGTTCCATACATCCAGATGAGGTGGAGGATCATGGGGAACTGGTAGTCGCAGCTGTCCATGAAGTAATACTGGGTAGCGTGGACAGATACTAGCACAAACTGGATCTGTTGGGGAGAAATCAGTAGTCAGCCAAAGACTTACTATATATATATGTAGATGAATTTATCTCGGTGCCTCGGGAGCAGAAGCGTGGATATGAACAACAAAACTACACGGGTGTACATACGAGCTGAATGGCAGTCATGTATTTCTTCCACCACAAAAACTTCTGGAATTGTGGTCCAGCAGCAGCAAGGCCATAGTAGAAATACATGATGACGTGGACAGAAGAATTCACCATGGCGTGGAAGGATCCCATTCCACCTGGAGTAACAATCACAAAACATTAGACTGACTCCACCAATGTAGCCAAAGAACCTCTGACCTTGCAAGGAAATCAAGAAGAGACCGTGGAGGTTTTACAAAGAGACTCTTGGTTAATCATTTTCTCATGACTAAACAGAATTCAGTCATTTACAGGTAGCCTGCGCATGGTTTCTTGAAGGGCTCAACAAGACCAAAGTAGAAACCAAACAAAGAACATTGTGGTTGATAGTAGAGGTCTACATGTAAAAGAGGATTAAGTGACTATGCTACACACGCTGGCTGCTTGTGTCACTCCATTTATCAGTGTTTAACTGATGAGTCAAGATTTAGTAAATGTGTACCCACCAGGAGCGTAGCCAACTCCCCACCACCAGGTCCAGGGCATGAAGGAGTGGTGAAAGATGTGCAGGAAGGTGATCTGGCTGTGCTTTTTCCTCAACACGAAGAAGAGCTGACCGAAAGAGGATATTGATTAGTCAAAGCCATTCTCCAGGGTTTTACCTGCATAGAGAATTACAAGGTGGCTGTCTCTGTCAAATTTTGTGCCGCCTCAAGCTCTCGACAACATCTTCTTACCATCACTTTTTATTCATCTTAGCCACATACATTTTAAACTATCTCCTGAACCCTGGAATAATTAAAGTTTGCGTATTTCAGTATTAATCGATAAAGACGACGACAGAAACAAAACATCAAACTTTTTTAAAAAGCAGTCCTGTGTTGTGGACATTGGGGTAATGTTTGTCACTGTAAAATCTGAATTTTGGAAGATTGACAAAAAAATAAATAAATAAATAAATAAAAGAAACACAATTTTTCTCTCATTTAGCCAAATATCAGCTGGAAAAATATTGAATTGGTAAAGATTTTTTTTTGTGAATTTGTAAATGTGACACAAAGGCAGCAAAGATTTGTTAAGTGGCTGAAAGAAAAGTTTATTTACATTTGTGATTGATCTGATGATTTTATTCCAATTAATTATATCATTTAGTTTTAAAATGTCATGAAATTGTGAAAAATGCAAACGGTCACATCTAAATCGTTTATGGTTGTACTTTAGGAAATTGCGCTGGATTCACTAGCACCCCTAAAATAGTTGCTTGTGAGAAGCGTCGACGGCTCATTACACATGCACGTGTGTGCACGTGA